TTTTTCCTCCACAAAATGATTTGCACCCAAGTCATAAGCACCTAAAATTGCTAAAAATCGGGCTATGGTTCCTGAAATCGTAAAATTTGGCGTAAGAAAAATTATTTGCTAACAAGTGCAAAGAACTAAAAATGACCAAAAAAATGTACATTATTTGGCTCTAAGAAATTATTTGCCAATGCTTACAAATGACTAAAAATGACCATAAATCATGGATTATAGCTCATGAAATCTTGAATTATAGCCTGTGTGTAATTGATTGCCAATGGGTCGTTATGATTAAAAATATCAAAAATTGATGAGTTATACGCTCACGAAATTATGAACTTTGGCATCGCAAAGTTTAATTTCCAACATATTGAAATGACAAAAAATAGCCAAGAGTCATGGGTTAATAGCTCAAAGGGTCATGAATTTTGGCCTCCGCAAAATTGTGAGTTAAATCCTACAAAATCATGAGCTTTGACATCTACAAAATTATTTGCCAACTTTTCGAAATGACTAAAAATTGCCATAAATTATGGGCTAACGAAATCTCAAATTTTAACCTCCAAAAACTTATTCACCAAAATATGTCGACACAACTAAAAATAATTAAAATTTGTGCGCTATAATTCACCAACTACTTAATTTTGGCCTCCACAAAATTTTTTGTGAATAGGTTAACAAATAAAAATAGCCGAAGATTATGAGTTATAGCTCACCAAATCGTGAACTTTGGTCTCCATGATATTGTTTGCAATTTGGTCTAATTGACTAAAAATGGCCATTAATCATAGGTCATATCTCGTAAGTGGCTAACATTTAATTATCTACCATTGTGTCGAAATGACTAAAAATGGCCAAACAAATCAAGTTATAGCTCAAATAGACATAAATTTATGCATCCACAAAAGTATTTACCAACTTGTTAAAATGACTAAAAAAGCCATAAATGGTGGGCTATTGGTAAAAAAATCAAGAATTTTGGCCACAGTTGAACTTTTTGCCAATAAATCAAAATGACTAAAAACAAATAAATGAAGTTAAAATACCCAAAATCAAGAATTTTTGCCTTCAAAAAAGTATGTGTCAATGGGCTAAAATGACTAAGAATGGCCAACAATCTTGGGTTATAGCCTAGAAAATCATGAATTTTGACCTCCGCGTAATTATTTGTCATCTGACCGAAATGATTCAAAATGGCAAAAGAATTGTGAGTCATAGCTTAGCCCTTCGCAAATTTATTTGCCAATAGGTAGAAATAAATGAAAATGGCTAAAAACCGTGGGTTATTTGCCTCGAAGAAGTTATTTGCCAACTGATCGAAATGAGAAGAAATGGAAAAAAAGGGTTATAGTTCATAAAATCATGAATTTTGGCCTCTATGTAATTATTTGTACATGGGTCAAAATAGCTAAAAGTATCAAAAAAGTAGTGATTTATGGCTCATGAAATTGTGAATTTTGGCCTCTTTAAAACTATTTCCCAATAGGTTAAAATTACTGAAATGGCCAAAAGTTGTTGGCTATAGCTCATAAAATCGTGAAATTTGCTAATCGTAAAATTATTTACCAACAGGTCAAAACACTAAAAATGGCTAAAATTATGAGCTGCAGTTGGGGCACCTCACATTTTAGCTAGAGCAAACTTATTTGTGAATTAAGTATAAATGAATAAAAATGACAAAAAATTGTAGGCTATTCATCTCTAGGAAATTATTTGCCAACTGGTTAAAATGAAAAAAATTATCAAAAATTGTTGATTACGTTTCACGAAATTGTAAATTTTAGCCTTCACTAAGTTACTCGCCAATGTGTCAAATGACTGAAAATGATAGAAGATCATTAGTTATAGCTCATAAAATCACGGATTTTGATGCCTCAGAATTATTTTCCAGCAAGGTAAAACAACTAACATGGCCAAAAATCATTGGTTACTTGCTTCCATGAAATTATTTGCCACAGGTAGAAATAACAAACAATGGCCAAAATTCATTGGCTATAGCTCACACATTTGTGCATTCTCGCCTATGTGTAGTTGTTTGTGAATTGGTTGAAGTAATTAAATATGAAAAATATCGTGAGTTATAGCTCGAAAATCCTTAAATTTTGGTCTCTACTGAACTATTGCTAACTAGCCAAAGTAACTAAAATGCCAAAAATCATGAGTTATTGTTCACAAAATCATGAATTTTGCCCACCACAAAATTATTTACCAATGGGTAGAAATGACTAAAACTTCCCGAAACTTGTGGGCTATGGCTCACAAAACCATGAAATCTGGCATCCGCGTAATTATTTGCTAGTGGGTTGAAACAGATTAAAATGACAAAAAATCTTGTGTTATAGCTAATGAAAACAAGAAATAGAGTCCTTAAAATTATTTTACAAGTGGTTAAAACGAATAAAATAGCAAAAATCAAGGACTATAGCTTACAAAAGCATGAATTTCCCCCCCACAAAAAGATTTGGAAACAATATAATAGCTAAAAATCATTGGCTAGAGCTCTAGAAATTGTAAATTTTGGCGTAAGAAAAATTATTTGCTAACAAGTAGAAAGAACTAAAAATGATCAAAAAATGTATGTTATTTGGCTCTAAGAAATTATTTGCCAATGCTCACAAATGACTGAAAATGGCCATAAATCATAGCTCTTGAAATCATGAATCTTAAACTCTGTGTAATTGCGTGCCCATGAGTCGAAATGATTAAAAATGGCAAACGCTCATGTGCTATAGCTCACAAAATTATGAATTTTCGCCTCCCAAAATTTAATTGCGAACATGTTGAAATGACTACAAATGGCCAAGAATCGTGGGTTGAAGATCACAAAGTCATAAATTTTGATCTCCGCAAAATTATTTGCCAACAAGTCAAAATAACTTAAAATGGCCAAAGGTCATAGGTTAAAGCCCACAAATCTGTAGTTTTGCATCCACACAGTTATTTGTCAATTTGTCGAAATGACTAAAAATGTCCGTGAATCATGGGATAATAAAATCGTAAATTTTAACCACCAAAACATTATTTTCCAAGCATGTCGACGCAATTAAAAATGAAAAAAATTGTGGGCCATAACCCACAAATTAGTCAATTTTTGACTCCACAAATTTTTTTTTTGAACAAGTCAAAATAAGTAAAAATGGCCAAAAATTGTGAGTTACTACAAACCAAATCATGAACTTTAGTCTCCACGACATTATTTGTCATAAGGTCGAAATGACTAAAAAAGGCTATTAATCATGGATTATAGCTCATGAAATCATGAATTGTGGCATACATGTAATTATTTGCCAACATATCAAACGACTAAAAATGGCAAAAAAATCATGTTATAGTTCACAAAATCTCAAATTTTTGCCTCCCCAAAATTATTTGAAATTATTTGCTAACTTGTCACAATGACTAAAAACAGCCATAAACGATGGGTTATTGGTAAAATAATCATGAAATTCGGCCACCGTCGAACTATTTGCCAATGGGGACTACAAATAGTTAAATATCAGAAGTTATAATACACGAAATCAAGAATTTTTTCTAGCAATCATAGGTTATAGCCTACGAAATTGTGAACTTTGACCTCCGTGTAATTATTTGTCATCTGACTGAAATGATTCAAAATGGCAAAAGAGTTGAGAGTCACAGCTTAGGCCTTCGCAAATTTATTTGCCAATAGGTAGAAATAAATAAAAAGGCTAAAATTATGGGTTATTTTCATCTAAGAAATTACTTGCCAACGGGTCGAAATGAGGAAAAAATGGAAAAAAATAATGGGTTATAGCTCATGAAATTGTCAATTCTGGCCTCTATGTAATTATTTGCACACAGGTCAAAAAACTAAAAATATTAAAAAATAGTGAGTTATAGCTCATGAAATTGTGAATTTTAGTCTCTAGAAAATTATTTTCTAACAAGTTAAAATGATTAAGTTGGCCAAATGTCATGGTTTATAGCTCATGAAATCATGAATTTTTTCCTCCATAAAATTATTTAACAACGCATTGAAAACACTAAATATGGCTAAAAATCGTGGACTGTAGCTCACAATACCCTACATTTTGCGCTTAGCAACATTATTTGCCAATCAAGTAGAAATAAATAAGAACGAATAAAAATCCTATGCTATTTGCCTCTAAGAAATTATTTGCCAACTGGTTAAAAATGACAAAATTATCAAAACTTATTGATTATAATTCATGAAATTATAAAGTTTAGCCTCCACTAAATTATTTGCCAATGTGTCAAATGGCTAGAAATGACAAAAAATCATTAGTTATAGCTCACGAAATCTTGGATTTTGATGCCCCCAAAATTAATTTCCAGCAAGGTAAAACAGCTAAAACGGCCAAAACTCATATCTTATAGCTTACGAAATTGTAAATCTTCCCCTCCACAAAATTACTGTCCAACGGGCTAAAACACTAGAAATTATTAAAAATATCAGCTACGTCTCACAAAATTGTGAATTTTGTGAGCAAAAAATGGTGGGGTATTTGCCTCCATGAAAATATTTGCCACAGGTCAAAACGATAAAAAAGGCCAAAATTCATTGGTTACAGCACACAAATTTGTGCATTCTAGCCTATATGTATATGTTTGAGAATTGGTTGAAATAATTAAATATGGAAAAAATCATGAGTTATAGCTCGAAAAATATTAAATTTTGGCCTCCACTCACTATTGGCCAATTGGTCGAAATGACAGAAATACCAAAAATCATGAGTTATTGTTCACAAAATCATGAATTTTGTCTACCACAAAATCATGAATTTTGTCTAATGTGGAGAAATGAGTAAAACTAGCCAAAACTCATGGGTTATGGCTCACAGAATCATGAAATCTGGCCTCTACATAATTATTTGCTAGTCGGTTGAAATAATTAAAAATAACTAAAAATATTAGGTTATAGCTCACGAAATCATGAATTTTAGCCTCCGCAGAATTATTTTCCAAGTAGTTAAAATGAGTAAAATGTCCAAAAATTATGGGCTATAGCTCATGAAATCATGAATTTTTACCTCCACAAAATGATTTTCAGCCAAGTCAAAAGACGCTGAGAATAGCTAAAAGTCATTGGCTATAGCTCCTGAAATTAAAAATTTTGGCATAAGCAAACTTATTTGCAAACAAATAGAAAGAACTAAAGTTGGCCAAAAAATGTACGTTATTTGGCTTTAAGAAATTATTTGCAATGCGTACAAATGATTAAAAATGGCCATAAATCGTGTGTTTTAGGTCACTAAATTATGAATTTTGACCTCCCCAAAATTAATTAACAACATGTTGAAATGACTAAAAATGGCAAGAGTCATGGGTTATAGCTCACAAAGTCATGAATTTTGGCTTCCGCAAAATTATTTGCCAACAAGTCAAAACAACTTAAAATAGCCAAACATTATGTGTTAAAGCCTACAAAATTAGGAGTTTAGGCATCCACAAAGTTATTTGCCAATCTATCGAAATGACTAAAATTGGCCACAAATCATAGGCTAACAAAATCGTAAAATTTGGCCCCCACAAAATTATTTGCTAACTCGTCGAGACAACTAAAAACAACCATAAGCAGGGGGTTATTAGTCAAAAATTGTAAAGAATTATTTTCCAACAGGTCTAATAACTAAAAATGGATAAATTAATCAAAAGTTATAATACACAAAATCACAAGTTAAAAACTGGGTATGAACAAGATGCAGATAGGAGAAGGAAGCAAGGAGATTCCAAAAAATACACTTTCATTCAGGTCTGGGAGCACAGTTAAAGGACCTTACATTTGCCTGATAGATTCCAGAAAATACACTTTCATTCAGGTCTGGGAGCACAGTTAAAAACTGGGTAATATGTATCAATCTCTAGTTGTGCCAAGATCTGCTCTACAGCCCAAAGATATGAAGAATGACCATCTATCACATGACTAACATCAACCTGTGAATGAAAAGGACTCAAGTTATTACTAGGTATGAACAAGATGCAGATAGGAGAAGGAAGCAAGGAGATGTAATAGCTCCACTTACATTTTCAATTCCAGGAACATCGACAGCTTGAATTCCAGCCAGGCCTTGCGTAAGCAAACTGCAACTCAGAAACCATCAATTATCAAAAATCTATGCTGGAGGAGAAAACTACACTTTCTAAAGCATTACCTGGCACGGAATGTCACTCCAAGTATCCAGTCATTTGTGGAATACACATTTACAAATCTGCCAGCTACCATCTGGAACATGCAGAATAAGTTCAAATCATACCGTTGGTTAAGGAAGGGGGAAAATGGATAAGTTTTGTGCTCTCGTAAACAGGACAAATCAAAAAAATTCAAATATAAGTGTGGAACCAATTAAAAAATTCAAATAGAGTGTGTGTGTGACAGATCAAAGGTTCAAATATAAGTGCTATAGTGGCAAATCAAAAGTTTTTGTATGCACGCGTGTGGATTTTTGTCCACTTCTTCAGGATACCAGCATATTCCTCATTTAATTTCTAGCCACTGGATCATGGATCTAAATCTAACACTAGAGAAATGAGGAGAAAGAATTTATTATAAGGAGCATAGATTAACCATACATAAAAACTCAATAACAGATGCACACCAACTCCATTCCCTGTTGGGTTTGGGTCCATACCCATGAGTGGACTCAACGCTCACATGCCATCTATGATGCACGGATACGGATACGGGACACGGATACGACACGGACACGGATACGGGATACAGCAAAATCTAAAAAATAGGATACAGGGATACGGCAAGTAAATTTTTTTAAAATTATTATTATATATAGAAAAATTTATAAAATTCGACTAACAATCTAAAATATGAATATATCACAAAATAACAATCTAAAATATATTATTTGTAACTTTCTCTATCAGATTTATGATAATAATATAACGCTAGGCTGCTGCTCAAACTCAAAAACCAGAGATGATGATGACAGTGGTGGTGATTGTGCTGGACGGGGAGAAGGAATGGAGGGTGGACTTGAGGAGTCGGAGGAAGGAGGAGTCGGTCGGCGGGATCGGGTCGGAACAGCGGAGCGGTCAGCGGGATCGGGTCGGAACAGTGGAGGTGATCGAATCGAACGGGAGTGAGCTGAGAGATTGAGAGAGAGGATTAGGGTTAGGGTTAGGGTTTTTTCTTTTTTTCTTTCGTTTGAGTAAGCTGAAGATCGAATTGAGCGGGAGATTTGAGAAATAAGGATGGGTTTTTTAATCGAACGGTTCAAGTTGGATTTTAACAATCAAACCCGTAACCCGCAACCTGAATGAATCGGACTTCGACGAATCCGAGCCGTGTCCGAGCTCCTTTGATCGTATCCGAGCCTAATTTGACTGTTGACCCGTGTCGGACAAGGATTGACCGTGTTCGACACGTGTCATGCACGTGTCGTGACGAATCCGTGTCCGATTCGAGTAGGACATAGATTCGTGGCCTCCGGGGGCGAATCTGTGCTTCAGAGCATGCTATACCCATGAGTGGACTCAACGCTCAGTCATGTGATTTGGCTAAGGCATATGACAACTTGGTCATGTTGATGCAACCCACCTGTGGTTTCGGTTGGGAACAAGGGGCTTGAAGTGGAAATTGAGAGGTGGAATCTTTCATTTGTTCTATATCATAACCAAGTATGGAGTCTCGGTTTATGATATAGAAAGGTTTTGGAGAAGCTCATCTTGGTTGATTTCTTCAATATTGCACAATATCTTGGAGATCTCAGTTGGTTTCTACTTGTTGTTAGAAGGTGATTCTTCAAGTGGGTAGTGTGTTTGGAGTTTGTGAGGCAACACTTATATTTCCCATTTAACAATTGATGTTTGAGCCTCAACCTTGGTTATAGTCTTGAGAGAGTTGGGTGTTGTATTGCTCTCTTCTTGTTGATATAGTGAAAAGATCCCTCTTTTTGTCGTGAATGTACGCCCGGGTTGTGGTCGAGCCACATACAATTTGGTTCTCCATTGTAATTGGTTGTTGTGCTGTTATTCAGCAGTTTATTCATCCTCTCACATTTGATCTTGGGTTTGGCATCCTAGTCTTTGGTTCCCAACAAAGTGATATCAGAGCAAGATTGCCCACAAGGTGTTTGGTGAATAGTTTGAGATTCATCTATTTTGTGGTTTGTGAGAGATGGATAGTAACACATCTATAATTGTTAGCGTCAATGAAAGATTTTGGATAGTATGTATTGGGGAAAAGGTTTCCTACAAACACTTGAGAGTATTTGGTTTTCCTGTATCCATTCGTGTTTCGAAAGATAACATGCTTTTGCATGATGGCAAGTTGGAGCTATGTATCTTCTTGGGATATTCAAACTTTATATAAGTTATGGGATCCGGCAAAGAAAAAGTTGATGAAGAGTAGGTCAAAGGTGACTACGATGCTCATTCTTCTTCGGACGACTTTGTTGATTTGGATCCAATTTTCTCTTATATGGTACATGATGTTGGAGATGTTCAAGAAGACTACTCACAATGAAGTGGAGGAGCAAGCCATCGAGGAGCCAACACGTTAGTAAAGAACGTGCAAAGGATAAACAAGTATTTTGCCGACATAGATGCTAGATGATTAGTCATAGGCATCACCTCTCATGTGCATGGAGGGGGAGATTGTTAGGTTTGGGTTCATATTCATGAGTAGACTCAACATTTAGTCATGCGATTTGGCTAAGGCATATGACAACATGGTCATGTTGGTGCAACCCACTTGTCGTTTGGGTTGGGAACTTAAGTCATATAAAGGGGCTTGAGTTGGAAATTAAGATGTGGATTCTTTCACTTGTTCTATATCATTATCCAAGTGTGGAGTCTTGGAGAGAAAGCAGGAAGAGAATGGGGAAAGAAAGGGTTTGGAGAAGGTCATCTTGGTTTATTTATTCAACATTGCATAACATCTTGGAGGTCTCGGTTGGCTTCTACTTGTTGTTAAAAGGTGAATCTTCAAGTGGGTAGTAGGCCTGGAGCTTGTGAGGTAACAGTTGTACTTCCCATTTACCCATTATTGTTGGAGTCTCGACCTTGGTTATAGTCTTGAGAGTGTTGGGTGTTGTATAATTTTGTTCTTGTTGATATAGTGGAAAGATCCCTCTTTTGGTCGTGGATGTAGGTCTGGGTTGTGGCCAAACCACGTTAGATTTGGTTCTCCACTGTGGTTGGTCGCTGTGTTGTTATTCTGCATTTTGCACATCCTCTCTCACATTTGATCTTGGGTTTCTGATCCTAGTCTTTGGTTCTCAACATTACCATCACCGTCCGAGGTTCTTATTCCATCATCATCGCCATGTGAGGCTCCTACTCCATCACCAACTTAGTCCATGTTGTTGTTATTGTTTGGGGTTACAGAGAAAGCGATAGGGACCGAGTTATGGAGCCATAACCTCAGACGGCAATAGGGATAGCATGAGAACCTTGGACTGCAATGATGGAGTGGGAACCTCAGACAGCAATGAAGATGGACTCCATGATGAAGTAGAAACCTTGGACGGTGATTGCGATGAAGTCAGTGATAGGAACCTCAGACAGTAATAGCAAAGGAGTTGGTGGAGTAGAACCTTCAAAGGTGATGATCAATAAAAAGCGGTGGTGATGATATAGATGGGGATGTTGATTGTGATGATTAGAGTATATGGAGTTGGGGATGGGGACTCCAAAAATGGTGGTGATGATGGCTCAGGTGCATTGATCAATGGAGATGCAGGAAGTCAGCCACAGGTGATGGAGCTATTTTTGATGACGGGATATGCACCTTAGAAGGTGAGGAGCCGGACATCAATGGTGATGACAATGACAGAGAGTGAGTTGTGGTAAGTATATGGACATGTACCTTCATATTTAAATTCTAAGCATGAGTTGTTTGGGGCATCAATGCTCCTACTATCAATCTATCATGATCAAGATCATCGTCAAAACTTCGAAAAAAATACTTTAAAGAGGAAAACGTCATGTCTTCGAACAAAAATAACCCAGCTTGATAGCAATAGTGTACTTGAGAACATGTTCATGAGTGTACTTGATATTTCTAATGATTCAAGAGTGCAGGGAGAGGATAGGTGTATATGTAGGAGTAACTGAGGAGGATTTAACTTAGTAGTAGGAATCCAAACCCAACTTAAATTAGTACTTCATTTGTACTTCTAATCCTATTAGGACACAAATCCTTTATCAACAAATGATTATTAAAACGATCAAGAGGGTTGGATTATTTTCATATAGTAGGATTAAGATACTAAATAATATTGGATTTGGAATACCAAGCATTTCGATTAGGAGACATGACGTCAGAGAAGGCAACAATGCGAACAGAAATTAGTACAATGAACAAGTAAAACTTCGCTAGAACAAATTTCAATTAAGATCTCTATTTATTTTTTCTCATGATATCAAAAAACTTAATAATAAAACCCTATATACATGGGTTAAACTTTTCATTGTTTCTTTTTGGCAGAGATTGAGATGAATAAAAATTGAGAATTTGAGAAAGTATTGGAGTGATTCCAGAGACTAGGTGTTGCGAATGATTCAGGCGAACAAAGTTTTATTTTCTTAATTTTCACGTGATTAATCTCAGCCATTCATCCAATCTCAAAATCTATCTCCCAATCATTCTCCTCCATTTAAGCCCCCTGCCAAGTCATCTCAAATCTCACATAACACCAGAAAACTCTCACTTCCGCTTCTTTATTTCATGCAAGAACCGGAACCTGGAACTTCTTTGACTTCATCTTCTTCGAGCAACGAATACAATTAGCCACACCCTCATCCAGAAACCCTAATCTTCAACCTGCAACATTCCAACACCCTCAACTATAACTTTCAGCGACGCACTTCGCTGCAGGTTTCCAACGGCACCTTTCTTGAACATCGAGGCCTCAATTTACAACTACGACCAGCAAAGCTTCGAATCAGAATCAACATAGAGACAAGTCAAAAGTTCAAAAACTATAGGTTCGTGTTGGTAACGAATCTGAAACGCGAACTCTTTTAAGTCAACACTTGTTTAAGTTTCCGTGAGTTGTACGAGAGTTCTTTCATTGCCTTCGGTTTAATTCAGGACTTAATTCCTTCTATTAGTTATAACTATTGTTAAATGTTTAGTTTTTTTGTTGTTGATTTATAATTTCAATTATATGTAGTTTTATTTTCGCTAATCTTTTACGTTAATTCTGCATACGCATTGCATTGAGTCTGTTAGATTACTTGTTTAGTAAAGCCCTATAGATTGTC